AGTTACAGGTCTGTTTGTTGACCTTTAGGAATATTTTCCAGTCGAGTCTGATGCCACGCCCTGACCCCAAAGTCTATTTTTGGTATTCCCCAGGGACTTCATTGCTCTGCTCCCCTTGCTGTTCTGTTGCACGCCCTTAGTGTTTCCCCTCGATGTGGTGAGATCAGATTGGGCACAATTCCTGCATTGTGTCTCCAGTGTTGTCCCCCTTAGTGCTATGGGTCAGTGAGGGATGCTGTGTCTCCAGGTGGGGCTGCCTTATGGTCCTCTCTGTGCACTGGCTGCTCGGAGCAGGAACATCGTCCTCAGGGCTTGGTGGGCCAGGATGTGCTCCGCATTCTCTCCCTCCCCCTTCGTTTGCTCCGTGTGCTCTGATCAGACGCGCCCCTCTCCCTGAGCTGTAGCTTCAGTGCTGTCCTCTGAAGAGAATTCTTCTGAGGGGAAGGGGAGCTGTCCACATAATTGGGATTGGCGCCAGCCCCAATGTTACTAGTGTTAAATCCAGTGTTGTAATAAAAAATTACTATCTACTTCTCACTTTTCAGTACAACTTTAATTTCTCTTCCAATAATTCACTAGGTGACTCTTAAGTAAGAAAATAGTTTTCCTTATTTAATGAATGTTCTGATTTTTATAATAGGACAATTCAGAGACCACTAGTTGAGACAATATTAAATGCAAAAATAATGCTGGCTATTATTATTTTAGTCATTCTTGAAGTATCAGTTTTCAAGTTTCTTCTTCTCCAAGCTTATTTTTTATAAAGCAGTAGAATCCTTTTGTTTCAAGGGATTTTGCACAAATGGACCTTCAAGGCGCACTTTGACTCACCTCTCTTTCTCACCTCTCACTCCTGCCATTGAAATCCTAAGACAAGTCTCAAATAAGCATGGAAATTCACAGGTTAAGGCTGTGCAAAAAAATTTAAATGTGCTTCCATTTGGCCAACGATAGAAAGCAGCTTACCTGACTACAACAAATATTTTCATACTCTTCTACAAGATCAAAAATTGTGGTTGATGTGTGCTTCAGCGACGATTGCAGGAAATCAGAAAACATACTCATGGATGCTAGAACACATTAAGAAGAAAAGGAACGAAGAAATGTTAAGTCACATACTTCTAGGTTTAACTGTTCATTTGATATCTTAAAAATCCCACAAATCTACCAGTTACTAATCTTTACATTTCCATAACAAAAAAAGTGGGGACAAACTTTATTACATCTGAGTTAGCTACATCTTAAGTCTATCAAAACAAAGTAGTTGAGAAAATAAAACAGAACTTTTACCTATAATGCATCCATGTAAATAGTGTATACGGAGTACATGCATAGTAAACTGATCTGTGAGAGGATACATTTTGCAGAAATCATGTAACATGTTATTTAAAAGAACATGCTCATTGTATGTTTATTTAAGATCTCACCAATTGGTCAAATTAAAAAAAGAATTCTTGCACTTTGTACATTAATTACAGAAACTTCCATGAATAGTCACTTAAAATGTGAGCGCATAGTACTGGCAGACAGGACAAAGCAGCAGAGGTTATCACAGTGATTAGGGCTCTGGAGGCCATGGGCTCAGTTTTAAATCCCGGTGCCATCACTTCTTAGCCAGATGATAAAAAGCAAGTTACTTAACCTCCCTGAGTAGCAGTTTCCTTCCCTCTATGATTGCTGTCACTATTTTAAATAGTAGAAGGAGCTCTGGTGGTGCAATGGTTAAGCACTTGAGTGCTAACTGAAAGGTCAGCAGTTTGAACTCCATAAAGATGACAGTCCTGGGAATCCCATGGGGGCAGGTATTCTGTGTCCCCTATGGTCACTCTGAATCAAAACGCAGTTGAGGGCAGTGGGTTTGGTTTCTGATTGTTAAGAATCACCCAAGTCAATTTTTGTAAAGTGGTTGGCACAGTGATTAGCATTAATTTGTATTAGCTTATGATGAGGTTAAAATAAATAAAACAATGTGTAAATACATAGACACAAAAGGCAAATGCTCATTGTCAAAAAAAGAAAGGTGAAAAGAGATTCAAAACTAGCAAGATCACAATAATATTTTTAAAAATAGCACTATAAGCAAATGTGAAGAAAGTTGATGGTGCCCGGCTATTAAAAGATATAGTCTGGAGTCTTAAAGGCTTAAAGATAAACAAGCAGCCATGTAGCTCAGAAGCAACAA